AGCCTTTTAAAAATGATGCTTGTCAAATTGAAACGTAATTACTGGTGGTTGAGACTTAGAATTTTGGCTAAAAGGTTGTCCAGTGACACACATGCATCCCTAAATGTGAAAAACACTAATGCACAGTATCAAAAACACTAAATATAAAATTCTTGAGAACATCACTATTTAGAACTCATGAAAAAGAAAACCAACCCAGAAGGAGAATAAGAAGCAGTTTCCAGAAATGTAAACATAGGAATCAATAAGATAGAGACAAATGTTTTAGAATTCAAGGAAGGGAGTTTCAAGAAAATTCAGAATTTCTTGTTTCTAAATCTTATTCTCTATTCTCTCTTTTAAAAAAAGAAGAATTCAGACTTATACAAAATAATATAATCATTATTTGTATATCTACCACCAATCTAAAAAAATTCCAAGTATAGTTGAAGAACTTGGTTAACCCCTCACAATTGCGTCTTCACTTCACACACCTCAACCCATGTAAACAACATCTTAAACTGTTAATTATTATTCTGCATTCCTTTACACTCTAATACATATGTATATATGTATTTCTTTTCAAAATTCTTGGTTTTAAGTTAAGTTTTATAATATGTCAACTTCAAAATTAATTTTAGCTCTATATTACTCTTGTGAAATTCATCCGTGTTGATGTGTGTAAAATAGGTTCCTTTTTTATGGTATATTTTATATTCAATTTTATGTCAGGTCTACAGTTTGATTGTTTTACTTCTTATGGATGGATATTTAGATCACCTTCCATGTTTTCAATGCCATGAATATCCCTGTTTGTGAGCATAAGTGTTCACCTGTTCTCATTGTAATATTGTCTTTATTGCCAAATTACAGATTTGCACCAATTTTCATGTTCGTCAAGGACATATTTTTAAGAGATAGTTTTTCATGGGTCTCTTGCATTTCTTTATATCTTGTATACAGAAGCACTAATTGCCTTTTTATCACGGCCTATCTTTTCAAAGTCATTTTTATAGCAAACGTCTTTAGAATATAGCATCTTTCTCTGGAACAGAGGAAGTGTTCGTGTGATATCTGATATAATAACGATGTCTTCTTTTTGGATCAATGGTTAGGCAGGTTTGGTTATTGTCAATTATAAAATATCAAGGTTTCCTAAGCTCAGGGTCCTCAGGTGTGATACACAACCAAGGATATGCAGCATCCCACTGAGTATTTCTCTACTACCCCTGTGGGCTTTGGAGGCAAGGGAAATCAATGATACTGCAAAGCTTTGGCTGTATGCTGTGTCATGAGTCTTTTTCTTTGGCCAAGTAGTCACCAGTCTTCTGCTAGTATCCATGATACTGTTGCACGTCAACTTGTTAGCATATATGAAGGATGAAATCTCACTTGTTTCCCAACCCCCCACCTCCTGGTTCTGACATGTTTTGTTTCTACACCAAACCCTAATATACTTATTTTCTTTTAAAATTCTTGTCCCTTTTAAAAAATTCACTGTGAGGTTGAGACTTTTCTATAGTTGATTAGTTATTTGGATTTCCTATGCAATACTTGTTCTTATTGGGCTCACTTTGCTACTGAATTATTTTTGTTGTTTAGCTATGGGAGTTTTTAATAAAGTCTAGGTAACTGTATATGTTTTTCAGCCTCTGGCTTGTATTTTCCATGTTTAATAGGGAATATTGATGAAAGTCAATTTTCAACTTAAAATTTTAATTTTAAAATGTATCAAATTCATCAATTTTTTCTTCATGATTCATGCTTTCTTATTTTGTTTAAGAAAGCAATATATTGCCTGAGTCATAATAACATTTTTCTGTATTTTTCCTAAATGATTTAAATTTTGTCTTTAATTATTTGATTCCCCTAAGATTAACTTTTCTGTATAAGATGTGAGAAAAGAATCCAATTCATTTTTTCCCCATGCATAAGTAGTTTATCTTTTTTTCTTCTGTGTGGACAGTCCCACAGATTTATGTATGGGTTATCCCTTTCCATTATTTTATTGTCATTTGTATAGGACTGTACTAACAGAGCACATATTTGAGATTTTCATTTCCAGAAATGTAGCCATCTAGGCTATCTAATTAGGATTAACTCACCTTCAGAAAAAAAAAAATGTATAAATAGATGAATAAATATGCATATATACACCTATATATAAATGCTAGGTCAAAATTCCAGTGGGACCTCCAAAATATTAGGTTAGACCAGACGGTGGTGTCTGCGATCCAGTGCCATGTAAAAGATGCAATGACTTGCACAGAAACTAGATCCAAAAATGTAGCTTATTTAGAAAGTAAATTGGAGAGAGAGAGGGGATTCACCTTCCCAAGTCAGAGGAGGGGGCCAGAGTTTGGGGAAACATGGTGTTTGTAGCTCAAATAGTCATGTGGCCAGACTAGAGTTTAGTAAAGCAATTACCAAAGACTGCCTGAGGTTGAATGCTTTTAAACCTTCCTTCTGATGGAGGACAGGTCTTTAAGGTGACTTCGTGGTGATGTTTCAGGATATCATGAAAGGCAGGTAAGCACAGGTACTGATATCAGGTGATGGTGGCAGTGAGATGGTTGGGTTAGTCATATTAGTGCTGCCATGGTGATGGGGTCTGTCTGTGTCACAAAGGTCTTGAAGGGTGGATGAAGTTAACCTATTTACAAAACAAGCTGGGAAAGGGGTTGTAAAACAATTATCAATAGCTACCTCTGAGAACACATTTCTGTCCTTAACTGATGAGTAGAGGACAGGTTAAAGTGAACTAGAAAAACATGACAAAGCTAAGCAATGTTAAAGTGGTTGTTCCCTGGCTATATTGACTCTGTTTTATGTCCTTTTACTAAGTATATACAGTATGTATGTATATGTGTGTACATATGTGTGTATGTGCATGCACATATACTAGTATATCTGTATGTGTGTACATACAAAGAAAAGAGAAAGTTTCTAGGTAATGGCGTTCCAAAGTAATAAATGGAATTCCTGCCCAAACTGTTTTTGCCCTCAGCTGTTTACCAAGACAGACAAACTTGAACTTTGATTTGTAACAGTTTGGCAGTGTTGAACAGACAGCAATAAAAACCCAAGGACTGCCCAAAGCAAAGGATCGTCTCTACTTTAATCTGTGACACCAAAAGGTTTCACAATCAAAGTAAAAGTGAACCATACTGTTGATGCCCTTAGGAGCAGCATGTCAGAAACAAAGATATATCTCTAAAGAATATGTCTTTGTCTTCATCCTCAAAGAAATCCCAGTAATAAAATTTAAACCATATGGTCAGCACCCTGTCAAACACAAGAAGAAAAACACCATAAACAAGGACACCACAGATTCCAGATATGAAAAATATTAGACACGTATTGTAAGGCAACCATGCTTACTATATATAAATATGCAAAAAGTATTGCATATGTAATATGTATATTATATGTACATATAGGTGAGCATAAAAAAATACAAAAAATTGGTACAATAGCTTAAGCCAAAAAAAAAAATCACTATTTATAGTAGCAAACAAAGCTGTGGGTTATATATTAACAAATCTAATAGACTGCATGCTTAAATATAATGAAGAAAACTTCCAAATACTTGTAAAAGACATTCAAGTGTATATGTATAAGAAATTTCTATGTAGATAACCCTACAGATATATTTTACTTTTGTTTTTCTAATGGTTATTTACTTTATTGTTACTAGAGTACAATTTTGAATAGATTATATTGAACTTTTTTTCTTATTTGTGATTCTAAAGGAAAGAATTTTAACATGTAAGCATTCTCTAGATTTTTGTTGGATTTTATTTATCAGATTAATCAAGTTCCCTTCTGTTTCTAGCTTGCTAATACTATTCTTATAGATAGGAGTTGCAGTTTTCAAAATTTTTCTCCATCTGTTAGAATTTTTAAATTCTTTTTTTAGATAACTAAATTAATAAACTTCCTAATTGTAAATTATTTTTGCATCCTTATGAGATGAATCATACTAAATTTAAAATGACTATTAAAACTTGATGAATTTGGTGTCTATGTATGTAATTTTCCTTTCTTGTACCAACTTAATTTTTTTGTTTAAATTAAATGAAATTAGTTGAGGAGTTATTATTTTATTTTTATTTATTATTTATTATTATTATTTTATTTTTCTTAAATCTCTAGAACATTTTATATAAAATCAGAATTGCTTTCTGGACATTTGTATTGCTATGCTATAAAATTATCTGAACTTTTGTTTTTTAGTGTGGGAAGTATTGTATAACCAATTCTTCTTTTAACTTGTTACAATCAGGTTTTCACCTTCATTGCTCCAGTGGTGTCATTTATTTCAAGGTCACCATCATGTCCATCTTGCCAAATCCACCGGTAGATTCTTAGCCTTCATCGACTGAAGTTCCCGGTTCCCTTCTTATGGAGGTGTCGTCTGATTAACTAAATCAAAGAGTACCCCCCATGGACTTCCCATTGGTCACTCTTAATCCCCTTGTCATTTTTAACATTTTTCTTTATTACAATTTGAATGATTGAAATCATTTTGTGATACATGTACTTTATTTTTTATTGTATCTCTCTGCTTAATAGACTTAAAAAAGTTGAGGATTTGGTCTTCTTTGTTTTATACCTCTAATACCTAGAATACATCCTGACAACTGTTATATATGCAATACATATTTTTGCTAATATGATAAAGAAGTTGAAGGTATTCAAGAAGCTCATATGCCATTAATATTGTAAACTTACATCTCTTCAACCTCCATATCAGAGACACTTGTTTGAGCTGTCTGAATCCTACTTAATATTAGAGAACATATTAAATCTATTTAATGAAACTTTGATAATTTTGGCTATTCTCTGCAAAATTTGTTGCTCATTATAGAAACTTAGTCTTTAATAAAATGTATTCATTAATATATTGTACTATTAAATTTAATAAAATTTCAAAATTAGCTTTCCATTACCTTAGAACATATTAAGTACCTCTGAAAAAAATACTGGGAACATTATTATATAATTGTTTTTTATTTCAGGCTGGACAGCAGCGTTGGTGGGAACAGGAGATTAAGATAAATGGGAATATTCAAAAGGGAGAATTAATTACATATAATTTGACTGAGTTAATTAAACCAGAAGCTTATGAAGTCCGACTGACTCCTCTCACCAAATTTGGTGAAGGGGATTCAACAATTCGTGTGATCAAATATAGCGGTAAGTAGCCTCATATTTAGAAGTATTTATTTGTGTATTAAATATTTGTGTATGGAATATTTAGGTTATGACTATCTATCAAATTTAGCACAAAGTAAAATTGGCATATCGATTTTCTGGATCATCAGCCAGTTGACTAAACAAACAAAACCCAATAGCTTAATCTTCATAAACTGTAATATTTGATTACAAGTAGAGATAGAGAATAATGCTCTAGTTAACACTGAACTTATGTGACAATGTCAGCAATGTTCCTTCATTTTTGATCCCATAATTTTTGATGTAGTATTTGCCACTATTTTATATTTTCAAATTCTTAATGGATTTAAAACATATTATTAAGACATGGGATTGAAATGTTTTCTCTTTTTTTAATAGAATCAATATATTTACTTTTAGAGCAGTTTCAGATTTACAGAATATTGAGCAGAAAGTATAGAGAGCTCCCTTTTCCTGACACAGGTTTTCCTATTAACATCTTTGCATTATTGTGGTACATTTGATATAATTTTAATAGACAAATATCAATACATTATTATTAAAGCCAGTAGTTTACATGAAGGTTAATTATTTGTGTTGTACAGCAATATGCATTTTGACTAGTATATAATGCCATTAATCCACCATTACAGTATCGTACAGAATACCATTGCTTTAAAAATCCCCTATGCTCTACCTTTTTATTTCTGTCTCCCACTACCAACACTGCTGGTGATCACTGATGTTTTTACTGTCTTTATTACTTTCTCCTTTTCCAGAATGTTGTAAATTTATTTAAGCTTCTTAGACTGGTTTATCTCACTCATTAATACACATTTAAGAATTTTCTATGTCTTTTTGGGCCTTCATAACTTGTTTCTTTTTATTGTTTAGTAATACCCCTTTGCATAGATGTACCACAGTTTATTTATTTACATATTGAAAGACATTTTAGTTTCAGAATGTTGTTTTTGGTAGTCATTCTTTCTTCATATTGCTAATGTTAAAAATTCCTAAATGTTTCTGTGTGTGCTTGTGATAATTTACCTTTATTAATGGTATGCATAAAATATTTCATTGTTTAAGTGTCCTATTTGAGCAAAACTGAACCTAGTGCAGAATTGTGGAAAAAATAAAAATTGATTAAAATGTTTGTCTAGAATTAATATTTCAAAGAGAAACAATGGCAATTAAATATGCAATTATTTTGGTGTATACTAAAGAGATTAATATATTACAAGTAGAAATTTGTGTGCATTTTAGAACTACAATAGTCAATATTAGCTCTAGAATTTTCAATGCTTTCCATGGTTGAATTAAAAACTGGTGAAATACTTCATATTTACTTCAATGCTTCAGTAGAATATTATTCTCCTTATCACTGACTATCAGTACTTGAGTTAAAAAGACAATAGAATGCATTATTTGTAGTTAAAGTTCTCCACTGTGTTTTGCATTAAGTATATATTTTTCCTATTTAAGAAGGAAGCAGTGAATACCGTTAAAAGTGAAAAATGAAGTGAAACTATTAAAGATTCAATAAAGCTTTTTGTACCTATATTCAATTTTTGCTAAAAAAATTAAGATGTATAATGTAGAGTGAGATTTTATGGATGACAAAGTAATATAAAGGCATTAGAATCATTGCATATCTCTTCTTAAAAGTGGTCCTTTAGAATATGCATTTTTATGTTGGTGATATAAATATTAGCACAGAATAACAATGGTAATTCTGTAACCAGCTCCATGATCTTTTTGGGCAGAAAATTATATAACTGTTTAAAAATTTTAATTTCATGTGATTTATAGAATATTAATTATTATATTTTTTTACTTAATATTTGTGCTTTCTTTATGTTATAAAATTACATACTATTTGATTGTGGACTGTTAGGAAGTATGAATTAATATCTATATCTTTAAAAGATGAAGATACTGGAACCTTGAAAGTTTCAGTGTCCTGCAAAGCTATACAATTGTGAAGTGACAAACCCTGACCAGAGCTAGTGTTCACTGTCCATCAGTAGATCTTTACTTCTTTGCTAAGTTAAGGAGATCATTATGACTTTCCTTACAGAGCTATTTTAAAAAATTAGTATGCGCAGTAGTTATTGAACACTCAGAGACAACAAACTAAAATGAAAACTAGATATTACTTTTCATTCTAAGTTTTTAAAATTATTTTCACATTCTTAGCCATACACATTAACAATGTCAACATTTTAATTAAAACTGCTTTTATGGAATATAGATTTGGGCAAAGTATACTTCAATGGTGTATGGATGTTACATAAGTCTGTTTGGGCTGCCATAACAAGATACCATACTGGGTGACTTAAATGACCGGAATTTATTCCTCACAATTGTAGGGGCTGGAGTGTTCAAGATCAAGGAGCTAGCATGATTGGTTTCTGGGGAGAGCTCTTTTCCTAACTTATTGATGGTAAACTTCACATGAAAGAGAGCATGAGTTCTCTGCTGTTTCCTCATCCTTTTATAAGAACATTAATCCCATTTAATTAGGGCCACACCTTTACAACTTAATTAATCTTATCTCCTTAAAACTCTATCTCCAAATACAGTTACATTGGGAATTAGACTTTAACATATAAATTTTGTTGTAACACCATTTATTCTATAACAGGCATTTGTAAGAAGCTATGCATTCAAGTTCAAGTGAAAGAAGAAAAAAAATTCACTATAATATTCTGAAATTAGAATTGCAAAATCTCACAAAGTTAACTGTGCTAGTTATAGTGTATTAGGTCACTAAAATATTGGAGGAGAATTCTCCATTCAAATTCAGTCTGCCCCACATCTTTAGAATAAAGCAATTAAAAATTTAAAAAATTAAAAAAAAATTAAAAAGTCAGTCTTGTTAGAAGTCACATATATATTTATATATATACATAGATACATATGTCATTTCTTAAAACTAAATTACAATTCAAAGTTCCTTACATCTTTGAAAGATAGCATATGGATTTTTAATTTTTATATTAACTATAAAATAATTTTAATTTTTAAAATAAAAGATATTGATACATTTCAAGAAAATCAAATTGCTATTTTTAGCTCACCCCCAGTGGAATTAGTAAACATATAGTTCATTTTCTATGTTATTTTTTTCATGATTGGCAATGTGGAATGCAGAATCAAAACAACTGAGGGGATAGGAATTGTATCCTGTATGTAGAAATAGAAATAAAAATGGAAATATTCAGTTTATTAAAATTGTTCTTCATGTACTAATGTAACAATTATATATATACATGCTCTGTGCATATGTATGCGTTTTTTGTCTCTCATACTTTCCTACTATTGTAGAAGTTTAATAAAGGTGGTTAACAGCAAACTCCAAGAAAATGACAAAATAGACATTAAGTCTGCAGGGCAGATTAACTGCCCATTATAATCTTGGGAAACTACAATAATGCTCTCCTTCATTCAGAATGGAATTTTCTCTCAGCATGATAACTGCCTAATCAATAAATGCAGACACCATTTTCTCTCTTAGGTGAGATACATGTTTGCTGAAGTTTTAGTAAAATTTAAAGTATTCATTGTTGTTTGGATAGAAGTCAGTTAGCACTTTTATTGCAAACACAATTAGTTTTCTGAAACAAATATTTCTTTCGGGTCCACAGAAACACAAAATGTGTGATGCGTCATTTGAAAATGCAGTGTGCATGTGTGTGTGTGTGTGTGTGTTTTAATGTAGTTAGACAGTAATATTGAAGCAGCTAATAGTTTTTGTATGTATTATGTATAGTATTCACATATATACTATGTTATACTTACTATAAGTAGAAAAAACAGCAAAAATCAAAAGTGTAATTTCTCTTGGATAATCGCTTTCATTATTAAGTTGTCTAGATTACAGGTTTGCCTGCTGTCAGTCTCATTTTTGGTATCTGATGTGTTTTTGGTTTTTTTGGGTTTTTTTTGGTTAGTACTGGTTAAGATATTAAAGGTCAGCAACTTCATTCCTTGAATAAGGAACAAATTCCTCATGCTATTTAGCATTGACCTTTTGGGTACTTTGAGGCTGTTATTGCTGAGCTCCAAAGTAGATTGTACTCAATCCTATATAGAACAAAATGGATTGCAGAAATAATTCTTCACAGCCACAGTGGGGAAGATCATTACGTTTTGGTAAAAAAAAAAAACAACTTTGAGGCACTGATTAGACTTTTATTTATAAAAGACATTCAAGCCATGCTAACATTGTTTTGTTTTTGTTTTTGTTTTGTTTCTTTTGCTTTTCTTGTAGCTCCAGTAAATCCTCATTTGAGTAAGTATATTTTCACTTTAAAAAAATGGCACTGCATTTCATAATTAATAAATATATAGCAATATGTATAAATATGCAAAGATTATTAAGTAACTATTCTTATTTAGTTTAAAACAGAATAGTTTAGAACCAGTAAAATCTGCATTAAATGTTTATTTTAAATTTCGAGGGGCATGGATATAAAAACATTATCTGATACTGTTCATTTATTTTTATAAATTTTTCTAAATATAGAAATATGGAGCCATTTTATAACCTGCTTCATATTTGCTATTTCTGTAACTGTTGGATTATTATTTTCTTTTTTGGAATTGCATATCATTTTTATTGTTGTTACATGTTTCTTTGAATTTTCTTCTTTGAATTTCTATATTCCACTCATAAAAACCTATAACTACTTAGAAAGTTGGTATTTGAAATGTTTGAGTTTTTTTTTTTTCTTTCACAAAACACTACTTTAAATACCAATGTATTTGTTCTGATTTAGGTTATGAATTCTGTAAAGTTGTTGAATTTTAGAATTTTTGGAATATTATTTTATTTTGTTTCATATTAAAGGTAATGTGTACAAGATGACACATATATATCTAAAACACATTCCCATGAATGAAAACCTCTCTATCCCTGGAAAACCATTTTGAACTAAAAAGAGGATTTACCATGAAAACTCACTCTAGGCGAGGCACAGTGGCTCACACATGTAATCTTATCACATTGGTTGGTCGAGGCAAGAGGATCACTTGAGACCAAGCGTTCAAGAATACCCACTCTAAAATATCAATCCAGGAGAGCTTTTGATTTTTAATTTAAGGTAGATTTTTACAGGTTTAAGGAATGACAAAAAAGGGTAGGTGAGTGCAAGGGGGCCATTGGGTGTCAGGCTTCTTATTCCTTAGTTTTGATTACTTCTTCATCATATTGGAAAGGATTTGGGGAAACAAAACAAAATTCTGGAGTTAATGTGGCAAAAAATATTTAATTTATCTTTATTTATTGCTATATAGTCCCTAAAACGCTACCAAAATCATGTAATTAGAAAATTAATAACAATCTCAAGATCTAGTCAATTCACAGTTCAATATTTATGTGAAAATCCTGGACCTTATTTACCTATTTTATGATCTTTAAATATTTAATATTACATTGACTTTTGATAAGTTTATACAGCCTAGTGCATTTTCATTGTCTATCAAATATTCTTTATTCTAATAAACTTTTTTAAGAATAAGCTTCTTTGCACATATTTATAATTATCTCATTTAAAGTGATAGGATAATCATAAAATTATTATGGTCTAACTAGTTGCATGATTTTTTTTTCATTTTCCCTAATTTTATATAAAATCTCTTTAGTAGTGTTCTTCTTTACTGTAAAAAATACTTGTATGCTTGGAAAACAATTTATGTAGCTTATATATCTTTGATTTAAATTATTATACTAATTATAATATTAAAGACAACGTATATAAAATAATCTAAATTATTAAATATTTAGGAATATCTGAAATTTTTTGTAATTTTCCTAAGCATATTATTTCTTAATTTTGCTATGAGACTTTTAAATATTCATTTTTAATTTTTTTTCATTTTTGAAGACAAAATTGTTTTCTCTTTAAAAAAGTTTGCATTAAATTACAAAAAGATTTGACTAAATTGTGTTTTCAATATTCATTATACATAATTTTAAGTAACATATTAAAAGTTAGATTTGGCAGTAAAACTATAAATTGAAATCCTTAATCTTTATATTGATCTTTAACACCTTTTTCGTGCTTTGTAGTGTGTAATTAAACAATGGAAAACACTTAGTAGTATCCTTTTAAAAAAATTTTTATTATAAAGATGTGGGGTACAATTCAGAGTTAGGTATATAAACACTGATCACTCAGGTACCCTTGTTGATGAGGTATGCCCCTCCCTCACCTAGCAGTTTCCCTCAACTGTCAATCCCACCCCCACTCGCCTTACAGTTTCCCACTACTGCCAATCGCTTTCTTATAGCACTATACTTATTTAAGGTCAGCTTATGAGTAAGAACATATGGAACTCTGTTCTTTGTTTCTGTGATAAATCATTGAGTATGTTCGACTCCAGATCTCTCCAAGATGTTGCAAAGTCCATATATTTGCCCTTATTTATGACTGCATAATATTCCACAGTAATATCCTTATGGAGTTGTCATGACTCCAAAGTAGCGACTAAAGAATCTCATATTGTACCTAAAAGACATTTAAATAAATGTATAAGTATATGTAACTGCATTGCTATCTTTATTTTCAAATGATAGCTTCAAAAGGTCATGTCCTATTGATACAAGATCTATGACATAAATATATGTCTAGCAAATATTTTTATGGAATATCATTTATCCAGAAATTTACTGATTTAGCTTCCTTTAAATGATTATATTCCCTATAACTCTACTTATCCAGAATATGTAATATAGATAAATACAAAGAGGTATAGTAAGTGTTTAGTCTGAAAAAAAAATCAAAATAAAGCATAAACTCATTCCTTAAATTTAAAGGGAAAGACTGTTTTATTTTCATTTGCAGTTTCAATAGTTTTCAATTCATTTGGATATATGTAGGGGGGACCTCCCAAAAATTCCAGAATTTATTTATAGAAAATAATGTATTTATTCTTACATGTTTATACTCCAGTCACCTTCAAAGTATTCTCCATTTGATGCAAGACACCTACCTATTGAGATGCTTTTTCCCCTGCTCAAAAGAGTTTTTGAACTCATCAATTTTGATGCCATTTAGTGCTTCTGTTGTTTTTGTTTCACCTCTTCCACATCAACAAGACATTTTCCTTTGAGGAATTGTTTTCATTCCAGGAAACAACAAAAGTCGCTGGGGCAGATCTAGTGAAAAGGGAGGGTGGGGTATGGGAGTCATGCCATTTCTGGCGAAAAACTATTGAACACTAGTTGTGTTGTCACAGTGGAAGAAACATTCACCTGTTTGCCACGACTCACAGATTGTGATGCAATCTTCTCAACACTTCCTAATAAAAACTTTGGTTGACTATTTGATCCTGAGGAAGAAATTTTAAGTGTACTACAAGGGGTCCGCCCTCCAAAGGATAATCCTCATTTTGGGGGGTCCCCCCATATGACTCAACCAAATTCTACATTTCCAAGGATATCTGATAGATCTAACCCTTTGTGAGTGAGGTAAGGGGAGAGACTCAGTGGGAGTCTCTGTTCATTAGATGTTTACATCTTTATGAGTTCCAGGGTATCTGGATTCCATTTGACTTTGTTATTTAATAACTGACCTCTACCAAAGTTCTCTTCTCTGTGAGCCTCATGAGTAAGGATTATAGTGATTTCATAGAATTATCATTAGGTTGAATGAAATAAAATACACTACATTTAAATTTTCTCAATTCAGGATATGCACCATTTAAATATGGGTCTAGTGGACCTTTTTAACTTCTTATTTGTACTTATTTTTCAATCAGGGTGTATACCAGTAAAAAAAAAAAAGCATTGTTACCTAGAAACATCACTACCACCCACAATTCAGGAATAGTTGAAAAAAATCTTTCTTAAAATTTGTGTTGGATCTGAAATCAGTGTATGGTAGGCATGCAATACATCCTAGTCCTTCCTCAAAGTCTTCATAAGGTCTCTTCATTACTTCGTTTCAAGTGAATTTCAGGCATCTGGAAAAACTCACGTTCAAATGAAGTATGAGAGTTGACTGCTTTTCAAACTAATTTGCTTTTTTATCTTGCCCTAAGCAAACTTCCACTCATGCAAATGGATATACATGAAATAATTTCTAAACATGCGTGGAAAATTATAAACTCAAGGTATACATATTTAAAACAACATCAGGTAAATTATTAAAGGCAGTTTTCCAATTGGCAGTTTTGTTTTGATTGTTCCTATACTTACAAAATGAAGGTTAGGAAAATTGTTCAGCCATAATTCTAGCATGAATTGTATTCTTTAATTTCAGTTATCTGTTTATTTCAGAGGAAAAAGGTTTAGATATTAATTATTCAATAAAATACCAATTTACATATACAGTTGTTTTTCTTTTTTATTAAAATTGGAATCATTTTATGTGTAGTTGTAATATTGTGCACTATTATGGCTCTGGTGCCATTATTACAATATTGCATTATTATTGCTATGTAATGTTTGAAATTTTTTAAATAAAAATATTGCAATGTTTGTATTAGTTCTAGTAATTTAATTATTTTAATTAAAATGTGTTAACAGGAGAATTTCACTGTGGATTTGAAGACGGTAACATTTGTTTGTTCACCCAAGATGATACAGATAATTTTGACTGGACGAAACAAAGTACTGCAACAAGAAACACAAAATATACACCTAACACAGGACCTAATGCTGACCGTAGTGGCTCCAAAGAAGGTAGGAGAGTATGAAATTGTGTTCCTCACAATCAGAGATATTTAAAATGGAATTAATATGAAATATAAGAGAATATTTTAGCCTTCAAGTTGAAAATTATGGACTAAAACATTCCATTTTATGTACAGTATCAATCATTTTTATATTTCAAAAATCTGTAAAGATTAACTTTTTCTCAGAACTCACTGGTATATACAGTTGAAAGATTAGGATTTTTTTTGGTATTCTAGTCAACTTTTTTTTTTGGAGTCGGAGTCTCACTCTGTTGCCCAGACTGGAGTGCAGTGGCACGCTCACGGCCATCACAGCCTTGACTTGCTGGACTCAGGAGATTCTCTGCCTCAGCCTTCCAAGTAGCTGGAACTACGTCATGCACCAACATACCCAGCTAAATTCATTTGATTTATTGTAGAGATGAGGTCTTGCCAGGTTGTCCTAGCTGGTCTCGAGCCCCTGGGCTTAGGCAATCATCTCACCTCTCCTCCCAAAGTGCTGGCTGGGTGATGGGCGTGAGCCACCGCACCTGGCTGTCAAGTCTAAACATCCAGTTTGGTCTCAAGTTTTTGTACATTGCATCTTTAAGTAGGTAGATGATTTAATCTCTATGTTAAAGCCACAATTAATTATGCATACACATACAAAGTTTATAAATGAGATGCAAATTCTCCTGTCAGTGTTTACTTTGAAAACTATAGAACTTCTCAATGATTTGAATTTAATTATGCCTAATAAGAATGTGTTTAAACACTTTATATTGTCTGTTTTAAGGTTTTTATATGTATATTGAGACATCGCGACCCAGATTGGAAGGTGAAAAGGCTCGACTTCTCAGCCCTGTTTTCAGTATAGCTCCCAAAAACCCTTATGGACCCACAAACACTGCATATTGTTTCAGCTTCTTTTATCACATGTATGGACAACATATAGGTAAGGTGACAAAAATTACTGTTTCTTGTAAAATAAATTATAATGATGAAGAAAAAACTTCACAAACACAAAGCATGAATACAATTTTTGTCAAATAACGGTAAACTGACTTTTTAAATTACATCTGCAAATTTCAAAATAAAATGCTAAGAATTTTCCTCTATCATCTACTTTCCAAACTTTAGATTAGAATTTGATATTTTAGAGCATTATTTATCTCTTTTTGGAACCCTAACTAAGGCAGATCCAGTGATAAATTGATTAAATACTTTATGAGATCTTGTAGGATAAACACAATATAATTTAGGCTGTTCCATTCCAAAGAAATTTGCCCAAATAATGACTCAATGCATATTATTAATTATGATGAAAAGGCATATTGTCATATTGACAATTACTTTTATCACCATCCATGTATTTGGAATATTGATGTGATTTTTTTTTTCTTGTATAGAAAATATATCTAACACCCCTAATAAGATTTAAAAACATCCTAGATCCTGAAGAGCATAGAGAAAAGACATGTTCCTGCCCTTGGAGATCTTGCACAATGATAGAGACTAAGAAGAGTAAAGACTTAATTGTGCAAAGTAGCATACTACATAACTCTGAGAGTGGACCCAGCAAAACTCTGTGGGAGGAAAGATGCAAGTCTACAATTTGTTATGTGCAATTCTAAAATCCAGAAAACTAAGCACCAATTTAAAAAATAATTACTATTTGGTAATACATATTAGCCTGATATTTGACCTGAAGTGATATGGACTTATTTAGAGTGTTTATTTATCAAAATGAATATAAATATTTATAACATTTGCTGCAAAGATATTACTATGTTTAATAATGCAATTCTGCTCCAGACCATTCCAAGAAAGGTCACATAATAGACGAGATATATATTCAATTACCTTTCTAACACAAGACAAGTTTCTGAATAATAAAGAAAGCAAACCTAGCCCCACAGAACCTGGACAAAAGATTGTGACTCTGTATCTAGTTGAGGAATGAGATTGGGCTTTAAAACAAAGAAAATTTCTTCTGATATGTGAGAGAGATATATCTTCCATACACAGATATTATAGCACTTAGTTACTGCATGACTTTTGGGAAGTCACTTAAAATGACTGGATCTTATTTTTTTCATTTTAAAATGGGAAAACATAATTCCTATTTCAGAAAGCTGTAGTTCAAGTTAAATAATATACATATATATTCTATCAGATGGCAGACCTTCATAATTTAGGTTACTTTGCATCTCAAAAAGCAATAATAATAACAATTACAAAGGAATACCTGACATTTATAGAGTACTCATCATGAACCAGGATGCTTCTTGGCTTATTTCTCTTAATCTTCTCAATCAACATTTACACTTCTTAAAATCTATCCTGTTTCATAGCTAATGAAACTGAAATACAAAATATTTCTTACCCCTCCAAAAAAAAAATAGTTCAATGACTATGCCCATCACATGGCTGATAAGTAGTGAAGCCATATGCATATATGGAACACTGGACCCAGACTCTGCCTGTTTTACTCATCTGTAGGAATATTTGTTGGAGAGTTAGAAAAGCTTAGCTAAGTATATGATACGTATTTAGTACTCAGGTGAGTTATTACAGATTATGCACAAACAAAAAACATGATAAGATCTTTGCTTTAGGAAAATAAACCTAAAAAGAGTAAATAAGGGTAAGATTATTGGTAAACAGAATCTAAACTGAAAAAGTTATGAGAGTGATTATGGGTTTCATACACATAAACTAGGAAAGGAAGGAAATCTGTACACAGTTGCCAAGTCATTTCATTTATTGCGAGATTACTATCTTATTACAAAAGTAGGATTAACTTCACTTTCATCTTCTAGCTTACTTTGGAAGCGGCATTTTAAAGTTGGGTTTTAAATAAATCATTCTAAGACCAATATTTTGAATTACTTTGAGATGTAAAAGATATTTTTATCTTTGCTATGAAACTGGATCTTTAGAGCTTCCTCTTAAAATTTCTGCATATTTAATACAGAGTTCAAGATAATTTTTGACATATTTTTGACTTCAGGTTATTGATCTCATCTCTTTTATATTCAGTGAATGTCAGTAGACTTTCTGCTTGTTTTAGTCTGATTATTTCAGGGAGAGGAGATGGGGAAGACAGCTCTCCCTGTCTTGGCAAACATGTATCATTTTGACTCTTGTGCCATTTCTTTGCTTCTTTAGTGTACGTTACAGGGTGGATATCAGGTCTGTTACCGCGGTCCCTCTCAGCAAGCACAGGCGCACTACCTACTAAAATCTAGGCAAAAGTACCTATTCCAGACAATGGGTAATCAATGAGAACTAGATGGGAAACTTTGTTAGGGAGATCTGCCTGCAGTTAAAACTTTCCTTCTCTGTATATATTATTCTCCGGCTCTCATTCATGTGTAAATTCGGGGGGCATTTATAGTCATTGGTTTTATAAATTGTATTCTCAGTTTCAGTCATTCTTTTGGAAATCCAAATTCTAAAATGACTTGTCCTGAATTTCTAATTGCCTACTTGCATTTATTACTTCTTGAACAATCGTAAATGAATCTTGCAGTTTTTACTGTGACTAAAGGGCAGTATATCATTAAGAAGAGCTGTAAGTATCTAATAATACACAAATGGGTGATACATTCCTTAGAAGAGAGATTCCTCTTTGAGATAAATCAAATGTGCTCTAATTGCTTATCTACTACTGCATAACAAATCTTTTGTGACTTAAAACAACAAACATTTATTATTTTGCCATTTCTGTGAGTCAGCAAGAATATGGCTTAGCTGGGTGCTTTGTCTCAAAGTCTCTAATGAGGTTGCAGTCAAACTTCTACACAAGGTCTATGGCCTAATTTGAAAGACTCAATTTGGAGAGGACACTTTCAAGTCCACTTACTTGATTTTGGACTATAGATATAGATATCTTGCTGGCTGTTAATTAAAGGTCTCCCTCAATTTCTTATCATGTGGAACCTCTTAAGGGGTTGCCTCATGCCATGGCAGCAATCTTCTTTCAAAGCAAGAAATTCATGAGACAGAGAAAGAGAGAGAGAAAAAGGATGTTTAAGATTTTATGCCTATTTTCTGAAGTGACATCTCATAATGTCTGCCTTGCTGTATTTATTTAAAACTGAGTAGACAAATCCAGCACATACTCATGGAGGAAGAATTAAGCAAGAATGTTCATAATAGGAGGTTGAGATTTTTGCACAACTTAAAGGTTGTCTACCACACTGGTACAATTTCTTTATAGTTAAATGTTTCATCAAAACAGAAAGTGAAAAAAACTGGTGCCAGATAAATTAGACAACTATCTATTTAAAAATTGATTGAATAAAAATCATGTTTCCAAATAAAAGCTATAATGTGTTACCCTTAAACTTACTGTTGATTTATATGTAAATGATACAATATCCAGCTACTGATAATAATATAAGATTATTTCAGCATTCCTGAGTCTACTAATGGGCATTCCAATTCTTGATGAATCAGCTGAATTTCTAATGTTCTTGCAAAGTAATTAAATCGCATATGAGGTCACTAGGTATGACAAAGCTTATTAAAAACCAGTAAAATGTATACTTCATTTATTTCTAAAAAGAAAAATGTGAGATATAAGCATCTTACATGCCAGGAAATTAAAGATCAAAACACAAAAGGCACTTATGAATACATTTATTGAACTTGAGAAGAATGGTTCAATAAAGTTGTGCCTTTAGAAAGCTAATTTCACTATGGAGCAAATGGAAGAAAAGGAAAAGGAGTCCATTAAAGATGGACCGTAAGGGTGAGAAAGAACTCATAAAGTAGAATGTTGTGGGATTGCAAAAGGGCCTATTTTAAGAGGAAAAATAGTCAATAGAAAGGGTAAGTTTTAAAACACAAAAAAAACAGGGAAGCAAGTTTTATGAAGCGATGAGAATTAGGGTTGTGGTCAGGGAATTAGACTTGAAGAGAGAAACTAATGCCACTTCCACTAAGTTGAAATAAAGGAATTAGGTAGTAATGTGGCTTCTGATAGATTCCTACCTACAAGAGCAGCAAGTCAACGCAAAAGTGCTTACCCAACGTCTCTATTGTCTCTGCAAAATATAGGGGTGCATGTTCAACAAGTAGACAGCTTGGGAGAATAGTCAAAGGGAGCACAAACTGATCAGAAACATAGAGACTTTTGGAGAGGGGAATGAGGATGGTAGTCCTCAGAGTTCTGGAATGCATCCTAAGATATAATTTCAGTTGGAGTCCCTATCACTTCTTTTGTATAGTACTGAATAAGCCTGTTACCTGATTTCCTTGCTGTCTCTTTGTTCTGTAGCTTCCAGGGTAGAGATCATTCTCTAAAAGAAGTAACATAGATCCTCAAGAGTATATGCCTCTCTGGTTTCTCCTTGGGTTAGCTGCACAGTCTATTCCAAGCATACTTGAAGTTTGTCAAATTAAGCTCTGCTCTGCCTGGGGTCTCTACACAGGTTCTATCCTTTGTCCTGCTGAGCTGTATGCTTGTTGGGACCAGAAACAATGTCTATTCTGATGACATGGTGCCCTGCCTATACATATTTATTTGAGTATCCAATAAGTATTTATTGCATCAATGAATATTAGATTAATTATGCAATAGAATAAGAACTTTTTTCTCTTTAATCATCTAGGTAATGCCTATTCTTCTTTAAAAAGTCAATTCAAAGACATGTGCTGAAACTCTTCCCTATCTTCCCTGCTCTTTTGTTCCCATAACTCCTGGGGCTGGCCACTGTTAAATTGTAAGCTCCTTGACAGCAGTAATTATGCGTTCTTTATATTTGACTCTCTGAAATAGCAATTACTCAATAGATTTTTGAGTAAAGTATCCAACTAGATACTTTAGCTTTGGGGTGTACCAGAACAATAACAAAACACACTATAAGTATGGAGTTTAGTTTGGAAATGAAAGGTAGTTTCATGAAGAACTTATAGGATGCAAAAAAAAAAATAGAAGTTAATTAT